GACAGGCACCCTGGTTCACGCCTGTAATCCCAGCACTTTGGGAGGCCGAGGTGGCCTGATCACCTGAAGTCAGGAGTTCAAGAACAGCGTGGCCAACATGGTGAAACCCTTTCTCCACTAAAAATACAAAAATTAGCTGGGTGTGGTGGCAAGCCTCTGTAATCCCAGCTACTAGGGAGGTTGAGGGAGGAGAATGGCTTGAGCCTGCGAGGCAAAAGTTGCAGTGAGCGGAGATTGCACCACTGCAGTCCAGCCTGGGCAACTGAGTGAGACCCTGTCTCAAAAAAAGAGAAGAGTGTTTTAGTGAATATCTTTATTTAAGAGAGCAAAATTACCTGGTGACCATTGAACAGGCCAGGGAGATAAAAACGGCTTATCTGAGGAATTTAGAAGGGAGCAAAGACCACCTGGTGACCATCAAACAGGCCGAGCAGAGGCAAAACTCCTCTGGGGACAATTAGAAGTAATTCGACTTCCCTATTTTATTTCTTTCTTTTTTTTTTAAATTTTTGTATATATATATTTTAAAGATGGGGTTTCACAATGTTGGTCAGGCTGGTCTTAAACTCCCGACCTCAGGTGATCTGCCCGCCTTGGCCTCCAAAGTGCTTGGATTACAGGCGTGAGCCACCATGCCTGGCCTCAACTTCCTTATTTTCTAAAGCAAGCATCTGGTTCCAGATTTCTTTTCCTCAAAAAATTTATAAGTAACTAGCATTTCTATACATCTCCAGAATGCCATGCCGAAACTCACTGTGTAAGCCTTGCACCAAAATGTCTACAAATGTAATAATCTACCATGGCCTACATGGCTAATGTGGTCCAAATTACCCATAAATACTCCTAAGGAAAAATCCACCACTGCATTCAATTTTCTTGCTCAGGCATCCAGCTGCACTCTTCTGCAGCGTTTTCTTTCTAAAAGACTTTTCTTTTTCAAATCTATACTGTTGTCGGTAAATTCTTTTTACCAACCCTCTAGTCCACCACTTCTTAATATCAGGGCTCTGACACCTCACCCAGCACTTATCGCTATAGAACCCAGGAAGAAGAATTGTATTGAAAACAGAATTGATGGTATAACATTCCATCTATAAATGGAATTTGCTATGAGTCCTGATTTTTTCTTTTGAGACGGAACCTCACTCTGTCACCCAGGCTAGAGTGCAATGGCGTGATCTTGGCTCACTGCAACCTCCACCTCTCAGGTTCAAGCGATCCTCCTGCCTCAGCTTCCAGAGTAGTTGGGATTATAGGCATCTGCCACCACACCTAGCTAATTTTATTTTTGTAGAGTGGGTTTCACCATGTTGGTCAGGCTGATCTCAATGATTAGCCCACCTCAGACTCCCAAAGTGTTGGTATTGCAGGTGTGAGCCACTGTACCTGGCCTGTGATTCCTGATTTTTAAAAATTAGTACATATTTACACTTTTCTTAATTTTTACTTTTACAAATAGTGCTGTAAGAAAAATTCATATATATAATTTTATTGATTTGTTTTGAGATGGAATCTCCCTCTGTCGCCCAGGCTGCAGTGCAGTGGCGTGATCCCGGCTCACTGCAACCTCTACCTCGTGTGTTTAAGCGATTCTCCTGCCTTGGCCTCTTGAGTAGCTGGAACTACAGGCATGGACCACCATCCCTGGCTAATTTTTGTATTTTTAGTAGAGACAGGGTTTCACCATATTAGTCAGGCTGGTCTCGAATTCCTGACCTCAGGTGATCTGCCCACCTCGGCCTCCCAAAGTGCTGGGATTACAGGTGTGAGCCATCACACCCAGCCTGTGTCTGACCATTCTTAGGATGGATTCTGAAAAAGGTAAATTACTAGGTCAAAGCATTTAATGTTTTTGATTCCGTTTGCCAAATTCCCGTCTACAGACATGTTTTAATTTAGATCCTCCACTATCAGTGTATTAGGGGCCACTGGCCCAACATGGAACTGAACTCTGTGGAAGACTAGGGTCATGCCATATTTTTGAGGAGCTATGTCGTTGGTGAGATACATAACACATACAGGAAACAATAGTTTGACACATATAAGAATACCACAAACAAATTGGAGATAGGAAATTCTATCAAATGCCAAAGTCTGCTGAGAACATTTAACAAAAGAAGTAGAATAATTAAGATCAGAAGTAGAGAGAAACAAGTGGAGACTCTGGGGAAGCAGATGATAAGGTGGGGAAGTATCTAGAAAATCTTTGCATGGTACTATGGGAAGGAGGAGGACTAAAAATTATTGAACTTTTTTTTTTTTTTTGAAACGGAGTCTCTCCCTGTCATCCAGGCTGGAGTGTAATGGCGCTGTCTCAGCTCACTGCAATCTCCGCCTCCTGGGTTCAAGCAATTTTCCTGCCTCAGCCTCCTGCATAGCTGGGATTACAGGTGCACGCACTACCATGGACGGCTAATTTTTTGTAACTTCAGTACGGATGAGGGTTCACCATGTTAGTCAGGCTGATCTTGAACTCCTGACCTCGTGATCCGCCTGCCTCAGCCTCCCGGAGTGCTGCGATTACAGGTGTTAATCACCTCGTCCCGTCCAGCCAAATTATTGAATGTTTTCTTTTTTTTTTTTTGAGACAGAGTGTTGCTCTTGTTACCCAGGCTGGAGTGCAATGGTGCGATCTCGGCTCACCGCAACCTCCGCCTCCTGGGTTCAAGCAATTCTCCTGCCTCAGCCTCCTGAGTAGCTGGGATTACAGGCACGCGCCACCATGCCCAGCTAATATTTTGTATTTTTAGTAGAGATGGGGTTTCACCATGTTGACCAGGATGGTCTCGATCTCTCGACCTCGTGATCCACCCGCCTCGGCCTCCCAAAGTGCTGGGATTACAGGCTTGAGCCACCGCGCCCGGCCAATTATTGAATGTTTTCTACATATATGCTAGGCCCTGTGCTGAGCATTTTACATATATTTCATTTATTTCCCAAAACAATCCTGTGACGTAGGTATTATTATTTTCATCCAGATGTGAATAATGTGAAACATTGAGTTTCAAAGGTATTAAGTAACTTGCTAAAGATCACAAAGCTGCTGAGAGGTGGAACCAGGTTTGACAAAGCTAGTTGGGCTCCAAAGCCCACGTCCTGAAGTATGTCACTTAACTGACTCATTGTAATGTCTGCAACATGTGCCTAATGAGGAATTGTATGCACGATTTGGTATCAGTGACTTGAGCCATAGTTGGCACTCAGTAGATGCTTGAGGGAAAAATGAGGACAGACAGAACTCCACATGCTAAGGCTTATTTCAGACATCAGACATGTCAAGCAGGATCTAAACACCTACTTAAAAATATGTGACCATGGACTTAAGTGTAAATGTAAAACTAAAACTTTTAGAAAAAATCAGGGAAAATTTTTAGGATATAGAGCTAGGCAAAGAGTTCTTTGACTTGATGCCAAGAGTACAACCTATAAAAGGAAATATTGATATACTGGATCTCTCAAAATTAAAACTTTTCTCTCCAAAAGATCCTGTTGAGAAGATGAAAAGATGGCTGGGCATGTTGGCTCACACTTGTAATCCCAGCACTGGGAAGCTAAAGTGGGTGGATCAGGACGTCAGGAATTCAAGCCCAGCCTGGCCAAACTGGTGAAAGCCCGTCTTTACTAAAAATACAAAAATTAGCCAGGAGTGGTAGCAGGTGCCTGTAATCCCCGTTACTCAGGAGACTGAGGCAGAAAATTGCTTGAACCCTGGAGGCAGAGGTTGTAGTGAGCCGAGATGGTACCACTGCACTCCAGCCTGGGCAACAGAGCAAGACTCTGTTTCAAAAAGAAGATGAAAAGACAAGCAACATAAAATATTCACAAATCACAAATCCAACAAAGAACTAATATGTGGAATACATAAAGAACAGTCAAAACTCAACAATTAAAAAATCAAATAATAAGGTTAGAAAATGGATTTTAAAAAGTGAACAGACATTTCCACAGAAGATGTACAGATGGCAAATAGCACATGAAATCTCTCCGACATCATTAGCCATCAGGAAAATAATGTAGATTTCAACCACAATAAGACATCACTACATTACTATCAAAATGGCTAGTGACAACATGAAGGGTGGGCAAGGATGTAGAGAAAGTGGATAATTAATTCATAGCTGCTGGCTGGAACGTAAAATGGTCCAACCAATCTCGAAAACGGTTGGCCAGTTCTGTATAAAACTAAACATGCAACTACCACATGTCCCATCAATTGCACTCTTTGACATTTATTCCAGAGACACAAATCTTGTTCATATAAAAGCCTGCCCACAAATATTCATAGCAGGCCAGGCACGGTGGCTCAGGCCTGTCATTTCAGCACTTTGGGAGGCTGAGGCAGGCAGATCACCTGAGGGCAAGAGTTCGAGAACAACGTGGCCAACATGGCAAACCTCGTCTCTACTAAAAATATAAAAGTTAGTTAGCCAGGCATGGTGGCAGGTGCCTGCAATTCCAGCTACTCAAGAGGCTGAGGCACAAGAATCACTTGAACCCGGGAGGCAAAGGTTGCAGTATGCCAAGATCACACTACTGCACTCCAGTCTGTGCGACAGAGTGAGATGCCGTCTCTCTCACACACACAAAACAAATATTCATAACAGCTTTACTGGTAATAGGCAAAAAACTGGAAACAACCCACTCATCCTTCAATGAGTGAATAAACAAACTGTAGTACATACCACAAAATATTACTCAGAACTAAAAAACAATTAAATATTGATATATACATGAATCTCCAGGAATTATGCTGAATTAAAAAAAAAAAAACCAATACCAAAAGATTTCACTCTATGGTTCCATTTAATTAACATTCTTGAAATGTCAAAATTATAGCAATGGAGAATAGATTAGTGGTTGCCAGGGATAACAAGGGGCTCGGGAAGGAGAGAAGTGCACATGGCTATAAAAGAGCAACAGGAGAGATTCTTGTGAGGATGAAATTTTTATAAATCTTGACTCTAGGCCATTACTGCAGGAAAAGGTCCCGCAGAGCTGAGCAGTCAAGATGTGTGACTTCACTGAAGACCAGATCGCAGAGTTCAAGGAGGCCTTCCAGCTGTTTGACCTAATACATGATGGCAAGATCTTGTACAGCCAGTGTGGGAACATGATGATGGCCCTGGGCCAGAACCCCCCCAACGCCGAGGTGCTCAAGGTCCAGGGGAACCCCAAGAGTAATGAGATGAATGTAAAGATACTGGACTTTGAACACTTTCTGCCCATGCTGCAAATAGTGGCCAAAAACAAGGACCAAGGCCCCTATGAGGATTATGTCAAAGGACTTCCGGTGTTTGACAAGGAAGGAAATGGTGCCGTCATGGGTGCTGAAATCCGGCACGTTCTTGTCACACTGGGTCAGAAGATGACAGAGGATGAAGTAGAGATGCGGGTGGCAGGGCACGAGGACAGCAATGATTGTATCAACTATGAAGAGCTTGTCCGCATAGTGCTGAATGGCTGAGGACCTTCCCAGTCTCCCCAGAGTCCGTGCCTTTCCCTGTGTGAATTCTGTATCTAGTCTGAAGGCTTCTAGGCTCTCATCTCAGCACCTTTCCCATCTTGTCTCTCTTGGATGATGTCTGCCGTCAGAATTCACCAAATAAAACTTGCTCTCCAGCAAAAAAAAAATATTGACTCTATCAATGTCAATATCCTAGTCACATTGTACTATAGTTTTGGAAGATGTTACTATTGGGGGAAACTGGGCAAATGGTACGTGAGATTTTTCTGCATTATTATTATTATTATTATTATTATCATCATTATTTTGAAACAGAGTTTTGCTCTCATTACCCAGGCTGGAGTGCAATGGCGCGATCTCGGCTCACCGCAACCTCCGCCTCCTGGGTTCAGGCAATTCTCCTGCCTCAGCCTCCTGAGTAGCTGGGATTACAGGCGCGTGCCACCATGCCCAGCTAATTTTTGTATTTTTAGTAGAGACGGTGTTTCACCATGTTGACCAGGATGGTCTCAATCTCTTGACCTCGTGATCCACCCGCCTTGGCCTCCCAAAGTGCTGGGATTATAGGCGTGAGCCACTGCGCCAGGCCTATTATTATTTAACTTCTTAGGTGCTGGGGGAACTCGCTTCTGAATTCAGCTACATTCTTTCTTTCTTTCTTTCTTTCTTTTTTTTTTTTTTTTTGAGAGTCTTGCTCTGTCATTCAGGCTGGAGTGCAATGGCACCATCTCAGCTCACTGTAACCTCTGCCTCCCCAGCTGAAGCAATTCTCCTACCTCAGCCTCTCGAGTAGCTGGGACTACAGGTGTGGGGCACCATGCCTGGCTAATTTTTGTGTTTGTTGTTGTTGTTGTTGTTGTTGTTGTTGTTTTTGAGACGGAGTTTCACTCTTGTTACCCAGGCTGGAGTGCAATGGCGCGATCTCGGCTCACTGCAGCCTCCGCCTCCTGGGCTCAGGCAATTCTCCTGCCTCAGCCTCCTGAGTAGCTGGGATTACAGGCACGCGCCACCACGCCCAGCTAATTTTTTTGTATTTTTAGTAGAAACGGGGTTTCACCATGTTGACCAGGATGGTCTCGATCTCTCAACCTTGTGATCCACCTGCCTCGGCCTCCCAAAGTGCTGGGATTACAGGCTTGAGCCACTGCGCCCGGCCTTAATTTTTGTGTTTTTAGTGGAGACGGGGTTTCACTGTGTTGACCAGGATGATCTTGAACTCCTGACCTCAAGTGATTCTCCCACCTTGGCCTCCCAAAGTGCTGGGATTACAGGTGTGAGCCACCACCCCTGGCCTGCATTTTTTCTTATAACTGCATGTGAATCTACAATTATCTCACAATTAAAAGTTTAATTAAATATATATACAGTAAATTAGAAGAGAAAAAACTTAAACACTAACAAATTCCTAGAAAGTAACCTAAAAGATAAAGGAATTTCATTATGTCATTCAACAGAGCCATTTGAATGAAAAATTCATGTTGGCCATAGGTTATGCTGATGTATACATTCCTGAGACTTCTGTTCTGTTGCAGGAAGGCATTCCCTTTCAGTGCCAGTAGAAACAGAAGGATAAGCAGAGTTGCAGAGGTAGAGAGAGAAAATGGAAACAATAGAGAGGATGGTTCTTCTTAGAGCCTTTTTTTTTTTTTTTTGGAGACGGAGTTTTCGCTCTTGTTACCCAGGCTGGAGTGCAATGGCGCAATCTCGGCTCACCGCAACCTCCGCCTCCTGGGTTCAGGCAATTCTCCTGCCTCAGCCTCCTGAGTAGCTGGGATTACAGGCACGCGCCACCATGCCCAGCTAATTTTTTGTATTTTTAGTAGAGACGGGGTTTCACCATGTTGACCAGGATGGTCTCGATCTCTCGACCTCGTGATCCACCCGCCTCGGCCTCCCAAAGTGCTGGGATTACAAGCTTGAGCCACCGCGCCTGGCATTTTTTTTTTTTTTTTTTTTTTTTTGAGGCAGAGTTTCGCTCTTGTTACCCAGGCTGGAGTGCAATGGCGCGATCTCGGCTCACCGCAACCTCCGCCTCCTGGGTTCAGGCAATTCTCCTGCCTCAGCCTCCTGAGTAGCTGGGATTACAGGCACGAGCCACCATGCCCAGCTAATTTTTTGTATTTTTAGTAGAGACGGGGTTTCACCATGTTGACCAGGATGGTCTCGATCTCTTGACCTCGTGATCCACCCGCCTCGGCCTCCCAAAGTGCTGGGATTACAGGCTTGAGCCACCGCGCCCAGCTTTTAGAGCCTTTTATAAATATTCTGTCACCTGGCTGTCTGTTTTCTAACCAAATGACCAAAAGGAATGAATGACTGTGCCCTTTCTGTGATAGAGACCCACCAGAGACCTGAGGGTAAGGGAGGAATCTAAGTCTTGCCTCACATATGCCAAATCTTACCTAATCTCTCATACATATTTCTCCACTCCAGTCCCCAAGACTTCACCCTGAATGCCCTCCTCACCCTCCCAGAATCCCATCTTCCTAGCCACCCCACTACCCAGAATGGAGCATTCATGCACACATCTAATATATCACTGCCTGACTTCTCATCGTGGGTCCAGTCGACCAGGTCCCTCTGTAACATTCATCTTAGTTTTAAAAAAACATAAGAGGGACTTGGTTGGCAAAAATCCAGGGGTAATGAATCCTATGTTCTAGAAACAGTGAGGCTGAACTATTTCAATTTGCAAGTAAGAGCTGGCAGGAAACCAACAGAGCAAATTCCTCTTGGGGGAAAAACAGGCTGGTTAGTTAACTTGTAGGTCTGTAAGGTGGGCAGATTTCTTTAAAAAGCAAACAAAGCAATTTTAGACTTGAGAGACTTAATTGCTATCCAAGGCCAAGAATATGAATAATGTTATACAAAAACCTTGCTCAAGTGAGAATTCTGCAGTCGAAGCATTTTGACTCTAATAGCTAAAGTTTAAAGGAGAAGACTATAGAAAAGAATGTTTATTTATCCACTCCTATATTATTATATAAACCATTCATGGTAGTGAGATATAAATCTCATCTTTTTTTTTTTTTTTTTCACTGTAGCAAAAAAAGGTGATGCTTTTCAGAATTTCTATGTCTAAGAAAATAAAGAGTCAGGCCAGGCGTAGTGGCTCATGCCTGTAATCCCAGCACTTTGGGAGGCCGAGGCGGATGAATCACCTGAGGTTGGGAGTTCGAGACCAGCCTGACGAACATGAAGAAACCCTGTCTCTACTAAAAATACAAAATTAGTTGGGTAGGGTGGCGCATGCCTGTGGTCTCAGCTACTTGGGAGGCTGAGGCAGGAGAATCGCTTGAACCGGGAGGCGGAGATTACAGTGTGCTGAGATCACGCCATTGCACTCCAGCCTGGGCAACAAGAGCAAAACTCCATCTCAAAAAAAAAAGAAAAGAAAGAGTCAAGCTGCTTTTGTAGGTTACAGATAATGTTAGGATTCTTTTACATTTGTTCTTCCCTCAATAAAATGAGACATTTCATTTATGCAAAAGGTAAAATTAGAAAACTAATAATGGCTTAATAGCAGTTCTAGATCACTTTGTAATGAAGGACAGGAAAGGCATATATAAATAGAATTCAAAGATAATAAAACATTTATTTGCTTTAACCCTTTCCCTTTCTCATACCACTCCCTGTCCACCTAAAACAGTAGCAAAGAAGTGAGAGAAAGTCATACAGGAAGACAAGCAACAAAGTAAAGCATCTGAGAAAACTTCACCTGTGTTATTTTTCTAATTATAGACATCATTGTGAGCATCACTGGATGGACAAATATTTATATATAAAAATGCTCATTTCGGCTGGGCACTGTGGCTTATGCCTGTAATCCCAGCACTTTGAGAGGCCAAGGCAAGTGGATCACCTGAGGTCAGGAGTTCTTGATCAGCCTGGCCAACATGATGAAACCCCATCTCTACTAAAAGTAAAAAAAAATTAGCTGGATGTGGTGATGTGCACTTATAATCCTAGTTACTCAGGAGGCTGAAACTGGGACGTTCCTAGCTACTCAGGAGAATTACTTGAACCTGGGAGGCGGAGGTTGCAGTGAGCCAAGACCGTGCCACCTCACTCAAGCCTGGGCTAAAGAGCAAGACTCTATCTCAAAAAAATAAAAAACAAATTAAAAATAGAAAAAAAATACGCATTATTTCTGGTGGTTTTTTTGTTTTTTGTTTTTGAGACAGAATCTCACTCTGTCACCCAGGCTGGAGTGCAATGGTGCTATCTTGACTCACTGCCATCTCTCCGCCTTCTGGGTTCAAGTGATTCTCCTGCCTCAAGCTCCTGAGTAGCTGGGACCACAGGTGCATGCCACTATACCTGGCTAATTTTTTTTATTTTTAGTATTGGCAGGGTTTCACCATATTGGCCAGGCTGGTCTCGAACTCCTGACCTCGTGATCCATCTGCCTCGGCCTTCTAAAGTGCTGGGATCACAAGGGTGAGCCACTGTACCCACCCCAGGCCTTTGGGTTGTTTTATTATAGTTTAAAAAAAATGTAAATGTCCAAAAGTAGGACACATTTAAGTAATTTTTGGTATATTGATATGATGAAATGCTTTGCAGCCATTAAAAGAAGTCACATTTTCAAGTAGTAAAAATTAAAGAGTCCAAATACCTGCTAATGGTAGGAAAAAGGAGGAAAGGAAACTCATGTGATACCAGTGGAAAAGTAAATTGTTATAGCTCCTTTGAAAAGTAATCTGGCAATATCTATTCAAATAAAAAAAATACTATTCAAATAAGAAGCCTGATGTAAGCAAAGAGTATCAAACATTTTTTTCCTAAAGAAAAGAAAAGCAGGTAAGGACTATGCTCTAGATTCTTCTTATGAAAATACAGAATAATTTTCATGGAAATAATCAAAACAGAGAGAACTTATTTTCAACTCCCTGACCCCTCTTATAATGTCTGTGGGGGGCCCAACTCTGTGATCCTCAAGCCTTGCCTTTCTCTTCATAAACCAGCCCTTCAGGTCATACTGTCTCTCATCTGGCAACTATTCAATGATGTTTATGGATCCCCATATTATACAGGGCATCAAAATTCTTCCCTTTCTTCACTCTCTTCTTCCTACCGCACCATACAATTATGTTAAAAATGGCTGAGTCTGGTTAACTCTGGATCTGCAGTGTGTCTCCTGCCTGTCCCTTTCTCCTCATTCCTA